AACCAAAGCACTCAATAAGAGATTGATTGCTGTTTAATCCTGAGTCTTTTTAGCCATTAGGACAGAATATTATTAAGGAGGAGACATTTAGTGCATTTGTTTCGATAAAAACAACCTCCACAGATTTTTATTGAAAGCCACTTTCCCAATGAAACCTCCCGTGCGCCTGTACTTTATTCTAATAAGTGGTTACTTTTATAGGAAAGGATAAAAATGCACAAATTATCTTGTGTATTGGGTGATGGGACGTGGGTGGGAGTGATTCGCTGTGTTTTACATCCAATATAAAATGCATTTCAGGGGGAAAAAACTGACATCAGACTGTAATATTGGTTTTTACAAGCTGCTGTGATGTATACAAATCAGGAGAGGATTTATTTGGCCGCATAAAACCCTCGCCCTCCTCTCACATTCTAGTCAGGAGACGCCATTAGACACGGAGCGCTTCGCTCACCATTTTGCAGTCAAAGGTAAATAATCTCTCTGAATATTCACAAACACAAAGGTCAGATGCTGGAGTGAATCTTTAAGACCTGGAAATGTCAAAGGTCAAGAGGGTCTGTGTGAGAGAAAGAGAGAAGACGGTAGAAGTGATCTAATACTTTTCTAATGTGTTTCCTGCTGCTGACTTCTGTTTGATTCAACTAAATTAGACTCGTAATTTAAAAAAAAACCCTCTTGTTTACTCAATGGCCCCGATGGTCCAATCAAGTGATCTTTGGGTAAAGGTGTTCTCTCACGGTCTTTTGTTAGTTGTTACCAGGTTTACACAAAAACATTAACTCACAACAATGATATAAAGACTGAATTCAAGTAACTTCTTTGACGTCAGATTTCTCTGGTTTCATCTAAAAAGAATAAAAAATGGAATATGTGATTCTAAGGATAGCAGAGGATAAGAAGTGGCACCGAGGTTAAGTAAGGTTTCACGTCTCCGAACCGAATCGAGCTGAACTGAATCACCCTAACATTCACTTTGTCGACGTAATTATTCTGTCACAGAAGCATTAACACCAAAGGAAAGGAACTTGGAGGGGAAAAATGGGGAAAAAGAGCAAAAGTACAGACTGGAACAGTCTTTTAGACAAAATTAAAGACACAACAAGAGTTCAGATCAAAACCTGAGCAACGCCCACACGGCAAAACATGTGATAGGAAAGATATACTTGACTTTTAAATGTAAGAGAGAGGAGAAGAATTCCAAAATAAGTCAGTGTGATGACAGGCCAGTGTTTGGGAGAGGAGAGGTGAGTGTGAGCTGCTACAAAGAGGCGGGGGACACGTCCCTGGCTCTAGTTGTCAGTCGTAGAGGGTTGGATAACATCTTTAATATTTGATTACAAGCTTCTCCAGGTATTGCAAACAATTCTTCCAATAAAAAAAGAGGAGAAAATACAGCAAAGTACACCAGGCAGACGAGCCGACATCAATGGAAGAAAAATAAAGCGGTCTGAAACACAAGCCCCAGATCCACCAATGTGATGAGCGCAGAAAAATGTGAGGTTTATGTAAGGCTCATCAGCGGCTGACGTTAATAGAGAATAATGAGAGAAAATACGATTAGACGGTTGAATGAAAGGTAAAAAAATAAAAAATAATAATATAAAAATAACAAAACAAGCAGCATATTGTATGTCAAGTAACCTGACAGATAAAACTGGAGTTTTTCAGAAAATATGAAAGACTAAAATGGTGTTCAAATTTCAGGTTCAAGGAGAAGGAGCATCTTATATGATGTTAATAAATGGACGTAATAAACCTGTTCAGTGCTAAAATAATCCACATTATAAACAGGATTTACCTGGAGATTTAAACCCTGTTTCAGAAAAATACAAGGGAAAGTTAGAGTTCTAGGACCAAAATAAAAAAAAAGAACAAAACATTTTCCTTTCATTTGCTCCATTTAAGTCTAAAAGCTGCGTGAGGTGACTCCACTGGAGAATTCCTTCTTTGTGAAATCCTGGAGGATGTTTATTTTTAGGGTTGAAAACCTTCCTTCCCTCAGGTCATCTTGGAGCTTCTTCTTCTTCTTCTTTTTTTTTTACCACTCTCCATAAATCGCTTAATCCAAGCATAAACAACAGCTCCAGAGGAGAGAGTCCCCATAAAACTGTCGCAGAGGCTTCAATATCTCACCGGGATTCCAATCGAGTTTTCTTTTTTTTTAACTGTTTATTCTGATTTCAAAAGTTTTCATGTGTCTTTTCAAATGATAACATCAGTGGAAGATCTTCTGTTCCTCTGATCAGTTGACTTGTGTTCTGATTATTTAGAGTTCTTTAACGGAACAGAATTAAATTCTGTTCAAATAAAACCCCATGTTTGTCACCTGAGAGACGTCTCTTTGAATGTTTATGAATGTCAGACACATTTAGAAATAACTGCATGTGTCTGAAGACTTTTTGACTATGTTTCCTTGACTATATTTACGATGAATGTCAGACACATTTAGAAATAACATGTCTGAAAACCTTTCGACTATGTTTCCTTGACTATATTTACATCCGGCTGCTTGGACATATTCAAGTTTTGGATTTAATGGTAAAAAAATATAAAATGACTAGAATTCACCACATCACAATTTAAATTTCCTGAAGTTAAAAGTCTCTGGTGAGAAGTTGATCTACGAGTGCAGGGATGAGTTAATGTGATACCAATGTATGTTTGTACTGAGAAAAAAAAAGACAAAGTCAAAGTTAATTGAAATTACAGAAAGGTGTTGCAGCTGCCGACAGCTTTGTAAAGACAGTTCTCACTGGCCAATCAGCTTTAATCATTATATCAACAACTCCTTGGATTCATTCTCCTCCATAAAAACAAAGCCATTAGCAGTTTTACTGCCGATGCCGAGTCCATGGCCAGACTCCATCCACCTCCTCCGTACAGTTTGTCCTGTGTGGAAGTCATATACTCCTCCTCTTAAGCCAATTATAAAGCTGCTACTCCTCAGCAGAGCTGCTCATCAGCAGCCACAGCACATTTCTGACTCACCTGCGAGACATCGCTGTGAGCCAGGACGCTCGGAGGGAAGGGGGAGGAAAGAGCAGAAGGAAAAGGACATGGAGAGAAAAACAAACTGAACGGAGTGAACGTGGCTCCGCTGAAGACAAAGCCGAGCCGTGAATGTAATCACTGTGTTCCTGACTTTAAGTGTTCTGATGGTGGTGGGATAAAGCAGTGGTTCCATCACAGCTCTCCCTGGATCCATCAACACTGAAGCACTCTTCAGCACAGACACTCAATCAGTATCAGCTCACGTTCTCTCATATCTTTAACGCCACCAACAAAAGCTACAAAAGACTTTTAATTAACGTGCTGTAGTGTGTGTCAAGTGTCTGCGTGGCCCCATTCACGCGAAACACAATACAAAGTTATTCTGGTAATACCAATTAAGTGTTTTTGCAGGTTTTTCTTTAAAAACTCATCAAGCACCAACTGTAGTCATGTTTTATAATTAATTAAAATAACTTCAACGTAATGAACAGAAAATATAAAATATAAATCAAACACAAGGAGACATGTGAGTTAGCAGTTAATGCTACAGGTTGTGGTGATACTAATTTGTCAGTTTACTACGCTCTCATCTACAATCACAACATTAACTAAACTGAAAACAACTTCACATTAATACAGCCTTAATTATTCACATTTAAAATCTCCCTTTGCACAACAAGGGCTTCATTTAGACAAACGTCTTCAACAAAAGTCAGTGTGATGGTCCCAGGACTCAGCCAAGCTAATCATGCTAACCTAACTGAATTCGTCCATTTCCATGTTTTTTTTTTTACAAGAAGCAGGTAAATTGAGAAAATACAAACAGAGGGCAACTTCTCTGCTAATGAACGTGGCTACGTTCAGAAACGACTTTCTAAAAATCATTATAACAGCATGAATATTATGTCTTTTCTGTCCCAAATCCCCAAAACCACACCTTCAATAACTCAATCATGACGTTCAAATATAATCATGCAGTTCAGGACAAACCATTTTCCATTAAAATTTTCCACTGCCTTATTTTCAGGAAAATGTAGTCAAGAAACAGCCGACACTTTAGACAAAGAAAGCAGCTCATCGATGTGTTTTCTGCTGCTATCCTAAAGCATCACATGAACACTGTTGGAGCTGACCAATTTGGCTGTGTACAAAACACGGCGGTTGAAATCTCCACGGGGAGTGACCATCCGAGATCTAGTTAGGACCCTCGGGCGATAATTCTGGCTACATACATTAGGGAATCAATGCTAATTAGTCCACAAGTGCAAGTAATTAACAGCAGATTCAGCTCCAGGCTACAATGAGTGGTGATCAACACAGCTTGACTGTGAAACATTTTTTAAGATGTACAAGATGTCTGTCAATAAATCTGGAAGATTTTCTACCACATCACTGAAGCCTCATGTTACTGTTTGACTGCTGATTAGCTGCACTCATTAGCACATCATGAATAAGGGCCGTAAACAACACACAAACTACCGATAAACAGCACATTTGACTCATGAGGTGACGCGTGTACCTGGTACTCATTAGGCCAGAAGGTGCTGACAGCCAGTTCCACCTGATGCCACTGTTTTCCATGAGACCCAGAGGCGTTCCAAACTGGACTCCCCAGTGGGCCACCGTTGACCCTCACGTAAGCCTTCAGAGCCCCGGGACTGTGGCCATCTCGGCTGTACAGGAAGTAGCTGAACTGGACGCAGTGGGTGTCGTTTTCACTCAGCGACTGAAGCAGTAGCTGAGCACGGTGGCCAGCGACATGCTGGGAGGAGTTCACCAACATATACGACCCTGGAAGCAACACAGGAAACGCAGCAGTCTTTAAATGGCTCAGGATTATACTTATATAATAATAAATATATATTATATACTACATCAATTATGCTTGACATCACTAAGTCAGATACGATAATGTCATTTACAAAAGTAAATATAAGATTTGATCAAAAAACATTGATAACATTGTATTGCAAATTATACTTTTTTGAAGTTTGACTGAATCTCTTGGCAACTGAGCAGCTGACACAGAGCCAACGGGTGATTTGTGTGAAGCGGAATAGCACAAAGGCATGAATCACAAGGAAAGAAATCTGGTTTTAAGCGGCAAAGATGAATCCGGAGGAGAACACGAGTATTCACTCAATATGCATTCATGGCTACAGGTAGGAGGTTGATGAAGGGAAAACAAATGTGCTCAGATGAAGGGGAATGACGCAGCTGCTTCTGGCAAAGCCACTGCTTCTTGTAAACATGACAGAGAGCAGCAGAAACCAACTGATGGCCGTTCCCTCCCTGCAAGGTGATGCCGTGGCAGGTAATGAGATTTCAGAGCCCTCCTCCCAAAGTGTCTCTAATCACAATAACATAACCCCATTGCCCTTAGCCTAGCATCTGTCCTGCCTTGTGTCTTTGCACGCTAACACGATTACCACAACAATGTTGGGAGACCTTCCTGTGTACTCACATAATCAAACCTGTTGTCTCTCTACTCCAAGGTCTTTCTATTCTCAGTCAGAAATGAACCCCAGAGAGGAAGCAGACGCCAGGTGTCCTGAAGACATTTGAGTTTGACCGAGAAAAGAGCTCATTTAAAGAATTACCAGACGGTGATTGAATCATTTGCATCCCACACAGGCTCAGCCTCTAATTAACAAACACTTCCAACTATCTATCCATCTTTTATTCATCTCACTCAAAAATACTTTTTTTCTTTTAAAGTATCAACTTTCATGAAGAGGGCAGTCTTAGCGCAGCTTTGGTCCCATTTTTTCTTTTAAAGTATCAACTTTCATGTAGAGGGCAACTTTGGTCCCAATTTTATACATCTGTACGAATCAATGCTTAATGATTTGCTGTTAGCAAGCAAGCTACATCTTTCATTAACATTATTACCTTTTTCATCCTGTATATATATATATATATATATATATATATATAAATTAAAATGCTCATGAATTTTCTATTATATTTTTGTCATAATTTTTATGACAAAAATATAATAGAAATTAATTCATGAACATTTAAATTTAATCTGAAGTAGTCTTACCACTTCTGACCATTGGGGGTGACTCTGAGTATAAAATACCTAGTGAAATTGTTTAGTAAATTTTGATTCCTTTGTGCATCCACCCATTTGATCACCATTCTGAGTGTTGATTAGGCTGAAGAGCTGAAAAAGGTGTACTCTCTGTACTGAGTCAGGGTTCTACTGTGGCACAGCAGGAGTGAAAGACTTGTGAAACAATCATAAATTCCCACCCTGCTGTTAAACAGACTAAGGGTAAAATTACACACGGATGTTATGCATACTTAGACTGTGATTGAAAGCCAACTGACCACGAGCCATAAAGAAAGTTTAGCTGGAAACCACAGACGAGATGGGATGATAATTATCCAAAAGATAGAGTGTGGATTTTGCTGCAGAGCCTGATGGCCCAACGGCCCCCTGTCAAATGCACCTGATTTGTGTCTGGTCCTGGGCTGTGGATCTCAGCACTCTCATTGTGCTTTACTTAATTATCTTTCAGAACCGGTCTGCTCTTCTGCAATCTGCAAAACCCACCGGGAACTAATGAAAAAAAAAGTTGAAGGGAAGTTCTGATACACTGCAGCTACAGTGTGGAAATGTGACTCTTGTGGTATACGCAGATGACACCCTGGTTTGGACTCATGAACAGAGTCTAATCAATCACTGTGCTTCTTAATCTACCAGATTCCAGGACCTTTTAAATACCTCCCAGAGATTCTTTGTTTACTTTAAATCTACTTTGTGCTAATGGTAGAAAACAGTTAGTCCTGATAATTACAAGTTTATTTCAAATTAGGGTGAAGCTTCACTATTTATTTAATAAATATTGGTTATTGATTAAATTTAAATTTCACACGGGGAAAAATGCTTCAGAAAAATAATGACAAAACTTGTCAGTGCTGTTGAAGATGCCTGAGAGACTTTCATAACACGGCTATTAGTGAAATCACTTGATGTTTTCAAATTTAAAAAATTTGTCTCAACGGTTTGTATCTTTGTTCCTAAAATGTATCAAGTTTCAGAATGGCAACGTGCAGTTGAAGAAAAAAGTGACACCATTTAAAGTAATATATAGCGTAACAGTTTTCACAGCATCAATAAACTGTTGTTGTATATACAGACAAACACACACATATATAAATGCATATACATATATATATTGTACATACATGTATATACATCTATATATCAATGTATATGTAAATACATATATACATATACATTATGTATATAGAAATGTATATATGCATATATAAACAGATTTATATGTGTGTGTGCATATATAAATATAATAACATATACATACATAAACATACGTGTTACACAAGTGTCAACACACTCTTTTATCACCAACCAAAATCTTTTTTTTTTCTTTTTTGCAGGACAAAATACAGTAGTTGATATAAAGAAAAAAAAACATCTTTTTGACATCATTAACAAGAAAGAAAGAGTGCTGAGTGCCTTTGAGCAGGAATAGAGGAGCACTGAATGAAAAAGTAAAAGGACCATGCATTTAATTCAACATGTTCCCGTCGTGTTTGTGAGGCAGGGCAGCGTATTTAAGGTGGATATTGAAAAGAAAGCCTTTAGAGCACAGGCACCGTGCTCAGCCGTCTCCACTTTGACAACAAAGTACAGACACAGTATTATTGTATGACCCTGTGGAAGCGCAGGACTTGATCACTTTATTCCCAGTAAATGATGCGTCAAGAAAACATGGATTTCTGTAAACAAGTCCAAGTAAAGGGAGGCGTGATGGGGTCAGAAGATCACCCGAGAAGTGGTCCCACGCTGGACATGTGTACTTCAGCGATGGACTTGAGTGGCATTAACCTCGAGGCCAGTCAATTTAGCTTCGCCTTGAAATAAGGACACAATGAATAGCATCTCCAGAAGAAACCGAAGAAGGAGAAGTTCTTACTTTCCATCAATTTGTGCAGAGTGAAGCCAAGGTCAGAGTGACAGTTGCTGACTGGCCCACGTAAAGTCTGCCTACCACAGAAAACACTGGCCTTCTGGGTAGAAGTTCTTATTGGCTGGAAGTTTCCAGCTTTTATAATGGACAGTCTGATAAATGTACAGTAGACTGTGAGTGG